CGGCGTCTGGCTGCTGCGGGCGGAGTCGTAGGCTGGTGCAGTGCAGCTCCGGTGGCAGCGGCATTCGGCGAACTGGGGCGAGCGCGGCTCCGGTGGCGTAGGGCGTCGGCGCTAGAGTGCTCGGCGGCATCGTCGAAGTCAAGGACAGGCGCCGAGCTCTCTAGGATGAGGCTCTACCACTGCAGGTGGCCTGCCCAGGTTGATGCAACGTACAGGTTGTTCTCCACGTCCTCCCATAGCGTTTTTAGTTAAGTGGAGTCCTCGGATGGATGCCAATAGACTGCGTTGACATCGAAAGTAACAGAGTGCTAGATTGCGTAATGGATACTCACTTTCAATGGTATTTTACGATACGATGAATTTTCGATGGTATTTTCTGAATCTCACGTTGTTTCGGTGCTATGAAACCAATTTTTCCTATTTTATTTTTCCATTCACGTAGGGGGAGGTGAGCACGGCCGTCAGAGCAGCGCGGGCGCGGGGATGATTAGCTCAGCGTTTAACGTGAGAGGTGATTAATTTAGCGGTGACGATGACATTTGGCTCTTTTTAGTAGTATATAGATAGAGATAGAGACAGAGACTAGATGCCCCGTTCGATGGCGGATCTACACTTAAGATGTGGGGCCACCTGGTCCCACAAGTTTTGCTACAACATGTTCAACCCCCACATAACACTTGCTAATTACCTTGCAATTAATTGATCTTGTGTATATATGTGTAAAGCTTGGCCCTGGATCCTGGATCCGCCATCCCGGGCTAACTTATCCCCTCTATCACCCAAAGTTGGGCTAACATATTTACCGTGCCGGTCCACTTAGCGGAGAGCCCGTGCATGAATGGGTGGCAGTCATATCATATGGGCCGGGCTTGAGCGGATGCAACTCGAGTTTCGTGTCCACCCACCCACATCGGCCCAAGGGTCCCAGTGAGTTTCGGTTAGCGCCGTGCCGCCGGTGGGAGTGGGACCATTGCCCGACCGGCCGGGCCATTTGTTTGTTTACACGTTTCTGCAACGTGACACGGAGCGCGGGTGGTACGGTCGGTACCTCCAAGTTCTCCACGCAATAGTCCACCGCCGCTTGCAGGAGTTGAGAAGGTCGGCTGAGCACCGAGCAAGCCGTATTATATTTTCCGCGTGGTTCTGCTGTTGTACACGATGAGTTTAAAAACACTATTGATCAATCATTTGCCAGTAATAAATACCTCCACTGCCGGCGTTGCAGTAATAAACACACCGTGGAGGAAGTCGTGAAGCCCAACCTGTCGGACCTCTTCCCTGCGCCTCCGTGCTCGACTTGCAGGGCCGCCGCCGGCGCACCGCCGAGCATGTCAGGAAGTTCTACGACTTCTTCGACCCTATCATCGCCCGCCGTCTGAACGCTGGCGACGGCGGAAGGAAAAATGATTTCCTGGATGTGTTGCTTCAGCTTCACTCGGCGGATCAACTCAGCCTGGAAACCATCAAGTCTTTTCTTTTGGTACGTGTAGCAACCAGCTCGCTTCGAATGGAAACTCTCAACTAATCAATCAGGAGCGTTTATTTTACTTTTCCATCCACGCGCAGGATCTCTTCGCGGCCGGGACGGACACCAACACGATCTCGGTGGAATGGACGATGGCCGAGCTGCTCCGGCACCCGACCGTGATGGCCAAGGTCCGCGAAGAGCTGAAGGACGCGCTGGGCTCCAAGCCTCACCCGGACGAGTCGGACATCGACAGGCTGCCCTATCTCCGCGCCGTAGTGATGGAGTCCATGCGCCTGCACCCGCCGAGCCCGCTGCTGATGCCGCACGAGGCCATGGCCGACGGTGCGGAGGTGGGCATGAAACTCCCAGACACATAGATTCTAGGAGAAGATCTATATATAGGTCATGTTTAGTTCAAAAAAGTTTTTCAAAAAAGTGTTACAGACTTACAGACTTACAGTAGCCATCACATCGAATCTTACGATACGTGCAGGGAGCATTAAATGTAGACGAAAAAAAACTAATTGCACAGTTTGGTTGGAAATCGCGAGACGAACATTTTGAGCCTAATTAGTTCATGATTGAACACTAATTGCCAAATAAAAATGAAAGTGCTACAGTAGTCAAATTCCCAAATTTAACACAGCCATATATGACTATATCCAACTGCTGAATCCTAAAAATCCAACTATCCACCTTCAACTAGAGTTTTAAAATTAGGTTTTACATGTTTTACTGGGCGTCCAAAATCACCAAAATTCACGAAATCCGAAAATTCCAATCAAAGGAAATCAAATAAATTGATCCTATGGTGTTCATAGTTTTTTTAAGAGTCTGTCTACTACATAACCATGTGTTTTATGTAATTTCAACACATGAATTTTTTTGCACCATAAGATTAAGATCCAACAGCCTCTACCCTTCTTCTACCTCCAGCCTTCTTCTATCTTTAGACAATCATAAGATCACAGATCCACAGATCACAGATCACAGGAAATAATTTTTTTCTATGGAAGGACAAATTACAGATCCGCCGCCGCTACCACCGCATGTTTGGGCCCGCCTTGACCAGCCACTACCACATCGCGTTCGCGTCCTCTCTCTCTCTGGGCCTCACCTAACACGACCACGCGCGCGTACCTGGAAGGCCGCCTCGCCCAGGACACGGCTTGGCAGATCTGACGGACACAGACAAACCGAGGCAACGATCCGATAGACTAAAAATCCATGTGTTTTTTTTTTGTGCTAAAACACACGTGTGTTGTATAACATTTCTATTTTTTTTAAGAGAATGGCATGAGATTAATCCCGGCACCTCCTTGGAGGTGCAGGTAGAAGCATTCTATTAGGCTAAATGCTAACCAGTGTATTTTAGCTGATACAAATTCTATTTAATTTAATGTCGAGATATTGATATTTCTAATAGAAACTATAGTTTTGCGCCTCCGAAAAACACACACACACACAAAATGTAAATTCCAGATAGAATTTCATTGACATTTTGAACTCTGCCTTCAGTGATCTATAATCTCTATCTATAGTTTAGAGACCCAAACAAACCTTGTTTTTAATCATAATTTGGATCCTACCATCACTGTCTATGTCCCATATTATTTCCATAATCTTAATCCAACAGTAATTGACCACAGATAGATAAAATGGGAAAAAAAACCCCTACCTTTCGAGAGGTTAATTTGACCCTGATTATAAACAGCCCTCAAAGGCCGATTGGTCCTTTGTTTGCAAATCAAAGAGTGAAAGTGGCTTAGGTGTAAATCTGAGAACTTTCAATGAAGCTCTTTTGCTTAAAACATCTGTACAAAATTTTCAGCAGAGCTGATGTGCCTTGGGTAAATCTGATATGGAAAAGTTACTAAAGCAATGGAAGCTTGCTTGGTTCAGCAGATGTACTTCTCTCGTATAAAAGAATGGTTTGCAAATTTGCTTACCTCTCTTGCCTTATTTAATACCCCCTCCATTCTAAATTATAAGTTATTCTAACTTTCTGTTTTTCTTCCTTTCCTTTTTCATTTCTTGAAAGCCTTTTAGTTAGCTGTACCTACTTTTATAACTACTCCCTCTATCCTGTAATATAGTGCATTCCAAAAATTTTAAGATAAATTAAGACAGAACATAAAAGACGCATGTATCCTCATTTTATTTTCTAATCAGACGTTATTATCAACGTGATTAATGGTGATTGGTTGATAAATGGAAAGTATTTAATGTAAAATTGGTTTTTGTCCTCTAGAGTGCATTATATTTGAGGACAAATTTTGAATGCCAGAATGCACCATGTTACAGGACTGAGGGAGTATTTAATTTAAATATTTCCAGTAACAGCTATGTCCCTTCTTGTTTTCTAAAAAAAAATCAAAACTAGTCCTCAGAATTTGCCACAACCACCCGCAGTCAGTCAAAGAGTTGACAAGCGCTTATAAAAGGAAGGAAAAATGATACTTCCGTAGGATCAATATGGAGTGCTACTTGCGTAGAAGATGATATACAGGGCATATTTAGATTCACTCCTCTAAACTTTAGTGTTCTAAAACTTTAGAGCACTTTAGCTTATTTTTAAGGTCTAAACCTCTAATATAAGGTGAGCTAAAGTTTAGAGTTAACTTTAGACCACCTGAAGACTTTAGCTCTAAAATTTAGAGATCTAAAAGTTTAAGAGAGAGATCAAAACAGACCCATATACATTCGTCTATATAGACAGTCAGCCCTCGTCTAGTCCCATCGTCTAGGCCTTCCTACCTGCTTGCCTTAAGCGTAGCTGCTGAGCTTCACACGCCTCTCACGCTAAAAGCTCGAGGCGCCTTGCGTTTGTATTTGATCTTAAGGCGCGTTTAGATGCAAAAAAAAATTTGGGTTTTGGCTACTGTAGCATTTTCGTTTGTATTTGTCAATTAGTGTCTAATTATGGACTAATTAGGTTCAAAACTTTTGTTTCGCGATTTCTTACCCAACTGTACAATTAGTTTTTTTTCGTCTACATTTAGTACTCTATGCATGTGCCGCAAGATTCGATGTGATGGATACTGCGCAAATTTTTTTAACTAAACAGGCCCTTATCCTCTTAATGAAACACAAGTCAACGAGCACGTTCTTGAAAAAAAGATGGATATGCATACGTGGCAGAAGACGACTAGCGGGTCCGCATCGGGGAAGCTATATGTAGAGGTGAAAACTGCCCAGACAAATCCCATATCATCGGGCCGATTTATGTATTCAACATGTTCGAATTCACATTTACGAACATCTCAATCATTTTCACCTTTTTATTTGGCAAATTTAAAAAACAGGCTGAAAACGATATTATCGTTTTGCTCTTGCTTTCGTTTTTCTGTTTGGCCAGGACATCTCGTTTTTTCACCCATGTGATATCCTATTTTAGGCAATCCAATTATACCATACCACATCATCTTATTTAATGCCCATAAATCACTACGATGCTCCAACTGAAACTGGCCTAGCACAAGCAGAAATATATCCGGTACATCGTACACGCACAATAAGCCGTAGCAGTGCGTCACCGGTGCGACGGCACCGGCACGGCCTTGAGCGGCGTGACCATGTTGAGCGACGTGCCGAACCGGTCCCTGACGTCCACGTCGCCCGGCTGCATCCCCTCGGGCAGCTTCCACTCGAACGCGTGGAGCATGGAGGCCAGGAGCAGAGTCACCACCCGCGTGGCCATCGGCGTGCCGGGGCACGCCCTCCGCCCGGCCCCGAACGGCATGAACTCGAGTCGGTCCTTCCCACGGAAGTCCGCGTCGCTCGCGCCCACGAACCGCTCCGGCACGAACGCCTCGGGCTCCGCCCACGACGCCGGGTCGCGCATGATCGTCCATAGGTTTATGATCACCTTGGTGCCGGCTGGCACCGCGAAGCCGCCCACCTCCGCGCCGTAGGCCAGCGGCCAGGTGCGGCATCAGCATCGGGCTCGGCGGGTGGAGCCGCATGCTCTCCATCACCACGCGCGCGGAGATAGGGCAGCCTGCCGATGTCCGACTCGTCCGGGTGCGGCTTCGAGCCCAGCGCGTCCCGGAGCTCCGCGCGGACCTTGGACATCACGGCCGGGTGCCGGAGCAGCTCGGCCATCGTCCACTCCACCGTGATCGCGTTCGTGTCGGTTCCAGCGGCAGAGAGATCCTGCGTGGGCCAAATTTGCGGTCTTTGATAAATCCACACAAGATTGCGGTCTTTGACAAAATCCACACAAGATTGCGAAAAGGTCAGTGCCAAATTTGCAGACCATATATTTTGGACGGTTCGGGAGAGATGAATATGTCAACACGATGTCACGATCAAATGGACTATGCGGCTGCATCCAATGGAGATGGACAGAAACGTACCAAAAGAAAAGACTTGATGGTTTGCAGGCTGAGTTGATCCATCGAGTGAAGCTGAAGCAACACGTCTATGAAATCATCATCAATCTTCTCACCGCTGCCGCGCGCTTTGATACGGCGGGCGTTGATCGGATCGAAGAAGTCGTAGAACCTCGCTACGAACTCAGCGGAGCGACGGCGGCGGCCCTGCAGGTCGAGCCTGGCGAGCACGGGGAAGAGGTCCGAGAGGTTGGGCTTGGTGACCTCCTCGACGGTGTCCCTCACCAGCATCTCCAGCTCCTGCGCGAGGTCCGAGCTCAGGTCGGCCACCACGTCCTCGGAGAAGAGCGCGCGGGAGACGAGGTTGAGCACGCACGAGAACACGGCGCGGCCCACGTCCACGGTCTCGCCGGCGCCGGCGTGCCAGCCCAGGCAGGCGACCAGCTGCCTCACTCCCTCCTCCTGCGCGGCGCGTCGCGTCCAGCGCGCGCCTAGAAGAGGTGGTTCGTGCACACGGCGCGGAGCCGCTTCCACAGCGGGCTGGTGCACGTGAGCCAGATGACGGAGTGCTCGTGGTTCCCCAGCGCGCGCCCGGCGTCGCTCACCGACCGCGCCGCCAGCACGTGGTCGTACCTCTGCAGCACGTCGCGCGCCGCCGCGGCGGTGGAGACCACGATGGCGTCGGTGGTGCCCAGCCTCAAGGACATGACCGGGCCGTGCGTCTCTGCAAGCCTAGCGAGGGCGTGGTGCGGCTCGCCCCGGAGCTCCAGGATGTTGCCGACGAGCGGCCCAACGATTAACTTGGCCATGATTTGCACCTTGATCGGGGGCGTCCAACCAAATCATGGTAGGTGGATCACTATCGCACTGCACTATATTAAGATGTGGGGGCCGACGGCTCACGGTACGAGGTTCACCGGTTGCCAAAGCTCCCCACCGGCACTAACCCTAACCGATCTAAGGAAGTGCAACAGCGGCGGGTAGCGCCGCCACCGTTCGCGTCCACTAGCCGTCGCTCCTCGACCTTGCCACAACTCCACCAACTCACGCCGCCACACCTTCACCATGGTGACCTCGAGCTCTAGCGCCAAGCCCAAGAACACCACCCACTAGATCTACCGCTAGTCGATCCTAAGTCTTAACAATGGTATCAGAGCCCGAATCTAGACGTAGATCTAGGTTTTGGGGTAGAAAAGAAGGAGAAATTAGAAGGAGTTGAATAGTTTTTCAGATCCGAAACCCTAACCCTAAAGAACATGGATGGAGAGGGAGAGGGACTCACTAGGGCTCCTCCGCCGCCGTCACCACCGCTGTCGCGTGGGAAGAGACCCGCCATCACACGGGCAGAACGGGACGAGCCGCCGCTCGACGCTGGGTCGCCGACGCGCGGGCTCAGGGCGCCGACGCGAGGCCACTCGACGGCGGTGCGCTCACCCACTGGGGAGCGCGAGCTCCGGCGAGGGGGCCCACGATGGCGTCGCACTCCTCCTCCGGCTGCCTTGCGCGGCCGCCGTTTTAGTCATCTTCGGACGCTGCCAGCGAGAGAGAAGAGAGGGGGAGAAAGTGAAATGTGTTAGGGTTTTGGGGACGGACGGCCGACGAACGGGTTTTTTTTCCGTCGAGAATAACGCCCAGCCGTCCGATGAGATGGACGGCTAAGAGCGGTTGGGCCGGATGCGACCCAAGCGGGAAGGGGATTTCCCGGCCCAGGCCCAGGTTGCGGCATAGGAGCACGGGAGCGCGATGCGCGCCGCTAGGCCGCGGTGTTTCGCTGGGCCATGCACTACTGCTGCATTCTGGGCCGCGGGCTAGTTTTTTCTGAGCCGGGCCGAATGAGTGGCAGAGGACTATTTTAAGTTTTATTATTTTTCAGAAGCAGTTTTCTTGAATTGTATTATGTTTTGATGTTTAATCTCTGTTTAAATTTGAACCAACAGGAGAATTTGTTCAGAGAGTAGTTAAGTCCATAGAAATGCTTATGATAATATCATTTTAAGATTATTTTTCATGTTTTCCTACAAAATTGATGTTTATTATCTTCTAATTAAATTTGAACCAACGAGAGGATTTAGTTTTGAAGAGTAGTTATAGTATTCAGTCAATTATGATATTGTTATTTTTTTTACCAACGTTGACAATAGCAATATTATATTTTTTTATTCATGAGGTTTTCCATGTATTAGTTCTATTTCTGCCCAATAGTGATGTAGAATTAATGTAGAAGCATATTGTATGTTTTAATTTTGATCAATGTTAAATTACGACATGCAATTGTTATTTCAACTGCTTCTCACTTTCTCTGACGTTGTTTCAAGTTACAACATAATGAAGTTTATCTCGTCCATTCTGCTTCTCAATGGAAGCAACTATAACGTATGGTGAGAGAAGCTTGAGATAGCACTTGCGCTGTGCGACATTGATCTAGCACTTATCTCTCCATGTCCCACTGAGGCAGTGGACCCAGTGAGGGAAGCAAATGAGACTGATGTAGCTTTTGCTACTCGACATCTTGACCATGCAGAAGTGAGAATGAAGTACGATCTAGATCGTGCGAAGTGGGATAGTTCAAACTGCATGTGTTTAATGGTGATAAAGGGCTCCATTGAGGATCCAATAAAGAGTTCGATCCCAGAATGTACCCCCACCACTGAGTATCTCAACAAGATGGAGAGTCAGTTCACTGGCTCTTCAAAGGCTTATGCAAGCACTCTTATTAAGAAGTTAGTCAATGAGAAATACTCTGGTGGAGGGATTAGAGAGCACATATTAAAGATGAGCAACATGGCATCCAAGCTCAAGCCAATAGACTCGGGGCTTAAGGATGACTTCCTAATTCATTTGGTTTTTGCATCTTTGCCCAAAGAGTATGAGACTTTTTTGTTAATTACAACTTACAGCCAGATAAGTGGGACATTGAGAAGCTCATTGATATGTATGTGCAAGAAGAGGAGAGGCTTAAGAGCTCACATGGTGACTTTGTCAACCATGTGAAGAAAAATAAAAAGAAGAACTTTAACAACAAGAATGCTAAACCACAAGAGAAACCTCAGTGGAACAATAGCTCCTTTTCTAAGTCACAAGCAAAGGTCACTCAGAAAGATCACCATCAGAAATCCAACTATGTTCAAATGGACAAGGACACATGCAGATGGCGCCACAAGACTGGACACTACCAGAAAGATTGTCTAGAGTTCCTAAAGCACCTAATCAGAAAAGGTGAGAACATTATTACATTTATAGACGAGTCCTTGTATTTAAGTTATGCAAAATCTACTTGGTGGATTGATTCAGGTGCAACTATTCATGTTGCAAATTCATTACAGAGATTCCATACGAGGAGGACCCTGCAAAGAGGGGAAAGACACATTAAGGTGGCAAATGGAGTCAAAGCTGAAGTAGAAGCCATTAGAGAACTCCCATTAGAATTAAATGATGGCTTTGTACTTAAGCTTACAGATGTCCTTTATGTACCATCTTTGCGTAGAAATTTAATAAGTGTCTCATCTTTAGACGATGATGGATATGATTGCCATTTTGGTAATGGCCAATGCAAGATAATGATGAATCATAAGTGTGTTGGTCTTGCTTTCTGAAAAGACAAGCTTTATTTGTTATCACTTTATGAGAATGTGAATGTTGTAAGCACTAAGAATGAGAATGCCTCCTCGTCTATGAATGCAAGTAATAAGCGGAAGAGAATTCATGAGGTATCATCAAAATTATGGCACTATCGTTTAGGCCATATTTCGAGGGGGAGAATAGAACGATTGATTAAGAAATTAATTCTTCCACCATTAGAATTTTTAGACTTAGAACAATGTATTGACTACATTAAAGGAAAATATGTTAAGAAAATAAAGAAACACGCTAAACGAAGCGTAGGAATTTTGGAAATAATTCACACAGAAATCTGTGGTCATTTTCCTATGAAAAGTGTGGATGGTTATGATTCATTTATAACATTCACAGATGATTATTCTCGTTACTGCTATATTTATCCAATTAAGGAAAGATCAGAAACATTAGATAAATTTAAGATATTTAAGGCTGAAGTAGAAAATCAGCATAATTTAAAGATTAAGATTGTAAGATCCAACCGCGGGGGGGGGGAGTATTACGGTCAACATACCCCATATGGCCAAGTTCTTAGACCTTTTGCAAAGTTCTTACAGGAAAAAATCATAGTTGCCCAATACTCTACACCGGACGAGCCTCAGCAGAATGGAGTAGCTGAAAGACGCAACCGTACCTTAATGCATATGGTGAGAAGTATAATAAGTTACTCCATTTTACCGATAAGTTTGTGGATGGAGGCGTTAAAAACCGCTATTCATATTCTCAATCGAGTACCAAGCAAGTCGGTGCCCAAAACACCATATGAGTTATGGACAGGAAGGGAACCATCACTTAACCATTTATGTGTGTGGGGCTGTTCAGCTGAGGCTAAAGTATTTAATCCAAATATTGGGAAGCTAGACTCCAAGACAGTCAGTTATCATTTCATTGACTACCCAGATAAGTCAAAAGGTTATCGTTTCTACTGTCCTAACAGACATACGAAGTTTGTAGAAACAAGACACGTTGTGTTCTTAGAGGATGGAATAGTCTGGGGGAGCATGGTAGCGCGAGAAATTAACTTTGAGGAGAAGCGGGTATACGTGCCCACTCCTATGGTTCAAGAGCTATTTTTCTCGCTACCTGTTGCTGTTGCACCAACAGTACAAGACACTATTATGACAGCACCTGTTGTTAGTTCTCCCGTGGTAACAATAAATGAACATGAGGAACTTGTCCTTCTGGATCCTATAGAACAAGTTGTCGCATATGAGGAAGAGCAACAACAGCCTCATATGGAACAAGCACCAACTAATGAGGCCCCTATAAAGTCTCAAAGAGCCAGAAAACCAGCCATTCATGATGCCTACGAAGTCTATAAATGTGAAAAATTTCAAATGGAGGGTGATCCCACCTCATTTGAAGAAGCCATTAGAAGCGCTCACTTATCAAAGTGGCTTGATGCCATGCAAGATGAAATGAGATCAATGAGCACCAACGATGTTTGGAACTTAGAAAGAATTCCTAAAGGAGCCAAGACAGTAGGCTATAAATGGGTCTACAAAACTAAATATGACTACAAAAGAAATGTGGAAAGATTTAAAGTGCGACTTGTGGCGAAAGGATTCACGCAAAAAGAAGAAATAGACTATAATGAGATATTTTCTCTAGTCTCATGTAAGGTCCTTTAGAATCATAATAGCATTAGTGGCGCATTATGATTTAGAATTACATCAGATGGATGTAAAGACGGCTTTCCTTAACGGGGATTTAGATGAGAATATCTACATGGCACAACCAAAAGGTTTTGTCGTGAAAGAAAAAGAACATAGGGATCCCGCCTGAAGAAATTCATTTATGACTTAAAACAAGCCTCTAGACAGTGATATTTAAAGTCTGATGGAATGATAAAAAAGTTTGGGTTTAAAGAGAATGTAGAGGACAATTGTATTTATACAAAGTTCAAGAATGGGAAATTCATTTTCCTAATCTTATATGTGGATGACATCTTACTCGCTAGTAGTGATGCTAATCTACTACTAGAGACGAAGAAGTTCTTGTCCTTAAATTTTGACATGAAAGATCTCGGTGAAACTTCGTTTGTTTTAGGGATAGAGATTCACTGAGATAGAATAAAAGGGGTTTTAGGATT